TTTATCAAAATGTTTGCCATAGTAAATGTTTGCCATAGTAAATAATTCAATTGAAAAATTGCAAAGTTTAGCTAATAACAATTTTTAATAATTTTTCAGCTGATTAACCTTGATAAAAAGATAACCAGTATGTAAGTACTACAGCTACTATTTAAATTTCCTAACTGATCATAATTAATGTACTATTTTAGGATGGAAATAATAAAAAATGAAAGCCAGGAAAATAAAAGAACAGTTTATGTGAATAAGCCGTTAGGTCATTCAGTAATACTTGAAAAGGATGCTACTACGTCGTATTCAACGAGTAAGGCTAAAAAGTTTTGCTTAGTCAAAGGAAGCTAGTGAAAAAACATTAAACAAAAATCAAACTTGGATAGTTGTGAACAGACATTTTATAATATGTTGTGTAGTGAATCTGAATGTTGATCCGATTCTGCTTTAAATACATTTATTTGACTTAGCATAAAAATCATTACAACAGCAAATATTAATGAAGTACGTTTTAAGATTCATAGTAATTGCTTAGAGATTCGTGATGGTTTTAGAATAGCTATGCTAAGGAGCAATGAAATCAAAATTCAAAAAAGGATTCAATAAAGTATTTGTGATTTTAGTGATAACAAAGTAATTAAATTTCAGATCAAGAAAAAGTTTATTATAATAATACGGGAACTGTTGAAGAGACTCATGTTTTGGAAAGTTCGGGTAGAAGTACCAATAATTTTGCAGAGGAGCATTGGTCATCAGAAATTAAGTCATTTGTAACCTTGCAACCACCTAAATTCATACAGGTGTATATAATTACTTTATGAATCACAAACGTGATAAAAGTTTCTTGTTTTTAATGAATATGTAAATACTTTGTGAAAAATTTTCACTTGATACAACGTTAAAATCTCAATTGCCTTTTAGTCATTCAGAGGGAAATGCTAGATAATACGACTTTTGAACCTTCTTGTTATTAAGGTTATCAAAGCATTTCGAGTACTAACCACCGATACGTTAACTTTGATTGTTGAAGTTGAAAGTGATCCACCTGCTATTTTTGAGTGGTTTTGTAACGACCGACCTGTACAGCAGAACCGGCGGAAATTGAAGGTTGAAAAAAAATCTGTTCACATTTATGCAATAGCTATACTAGTCTTAGCAATAAAATTATTATAATGAATTATTCAAGAAAATAAATAGTAAAAATTTTCAGGCATGTCATGGAATCAACATTACCACCTTAACCGTAGAGGGCCCGGAACAAGGTGTGTATAAATGTACTGCCAGAAATCCCGCTGGTGTTTCTACTACTTACGGATATGTTACAGTAAATGGTTAGCTTAACTAACAATGATTGTAATGTCAAGTATCATTTGGAGAAATTTTTCATCCGATTGCAATAGTTGTACCGAAAAATACTTATAAATTTATCGTTATTCAATTTTTGTACTTAATGAAAAAGCAGATCATTTTAATCATTCCTTCATTATTCAAATTTGTACTGTGATCTAGCAGTTTATTAGGTATTTTTACTTTCAATTACTGTAACTTGAAATGGCATTATTTTTTCTTATTATTATTATTATTAATAATTTGTGTAATTTTTGGAAGTTTTTATAGAGTTATTTTCATAGACTTGAAATTTATTCGAAGAAGAGAAATAACAAATATGATTTTGTTCTTCTTATATTTATACGTCAGTACGACCACTCATTATTATTAAAAATGTAACGGAAGCTAGTTTCAGCTCCACCAACATACGAACAGTGGTCTACACAAAACAAGAAGGGTGTTGAGGAGATGTTCAACAAAGCAATCGACGAGCAAAAAATTCGTAAGATCATATATTTCTTTGTTTTCTGATATTTCTTAATATTCTTGATAAATTTGAATTATGTCAGGTGTGGTCTCTGATATACCACCAAAATTCGTTCAGCAAATACCAAATTTAACATTGCGACCAGGTATCGAAGCTGTTATTGATGTAGAAGTAAAAGCATCTCCTCCTGCTAAGTAAGACTTATTTTTACTAGTATTTAGATTGCACTTCAAATTGTGTTAACAGAATCCCTAAAGAAGGAGTGATCATGAAAGTCCTCTTGTGTAATATTCTGAAGGATTATTAATTTCATCTGAAAAAATTTTTTTCACGATATTCAGAAATCTCTTAGCATCATTTTTTCCTATTTCATTGAACTTGGACTGCAGAAGAGGTTCTGAAATAATAAGTAAATTCATCACGTTTAAAACACTTTAAAAATATGTCTTTCCTGCAAAGCAGCAAATCAGTAGAACAAATCCCAATGTAATTTAGCAAAAAAAACTAGAGTAAAAGCAGTCTGGAAGAGGTTTGATAAGTTGGACTTATTCATAATTATATGTTCGATTAATCAGATTTTCTGCAATTTTATGAAGGATAATGTAAACTCATTTTTGTATGTTATGATTTTGCAATTTTTTCAAAGATTTTTGTGGTTCGTGAATGGCGTAGAATATCGAGATACATTAGGATTAGGACAAACGGAAATTTATTACCCAATGGTAAACCGTTGCATAGCTCGATTTTTAATACCACAAACAGGAGAATACAAAGTAATAGCAGAAAATAGAGCTGGTAAAGCAGAAAGTATCGGATATGTGAATATTAAACAAGGTAAAAATGAGATTCAACAAAATCAGATTCAAAAATTTGCAGTGACGTTTTCTTCAGTTTATTCTTTTATTGCAGATTTTCAAATTTAAAACCTCACAGAATATAAATACTTTTATTTTTGAGATTTTTGTTATAAATTTGGCAGTACCAATTCTGATCACAGTTATCGTCGTGTTGTCAAATATAAAAGCAATTTTAGGATAAAACCTAGTATTATTTTACCAAATTATACGAGGGAAAATTTTTGTAAAGTGATTTACTTCGGACATATTTATCAAAAGTACCTCAAAAATTGAACAATATTTAATTTTAGAAGCATTCTATCGTCATGCAAATTTGCCAC